TTTGATAATTTATTTTAATTTTACACTGGTGTTACTTATCAAACTATTCATCTCGGTAGACTTTCGATAGATGACCCAGACATATTTTGGTTTCATCATATTCACCTCAACTATCCTACGGGACGTGTCAAGCACTTGCTTTTATCCCGTGATAAATCATTGTTCATTGTTCATTTATCTTGATTTGACGCATGCTCGTATCTAGTTACCGAGCGTAGTTCCCGTCGTAACGAGGAATTTTGGGACTCTCGGAAAAGAAGTCACCAGATAGGCGTTAAGGCTTTGCGTACATACTAATTCGGCACTAGACCTATTGAGATTGGCTTTCAGACCTGATCGGACAACAAGCAGTACCATAGGCAAAGCTTCAGTCCAACTCAGTGCTTTGACTGCAGTGAGTGAGGTTTTCAGCTGTCAGTGGAAACGTTCCACCATGACATTCGCTTGCGGACGGTAGGCATTGGTATGAATGCTTCTCTATCTGGTAACCTTAAGAAGATCGTTAAAAGTCGAAGATTCAAATTGTGGACCGCCGTTGGTAGTCACTGTAGCGACCCAGCGCTCGACAAAAGCGCGTGCAACGGTTTACGCAGGTATGTCGGGAATGGGGACGGCTTCGGGTCAACGGTGGCAACGGTCGATCATGATCAAAATGTAGACCATTCCTTTGGACGGTACCAAGGGTCCAATTATTTCAAGTTGGACGTAGGCAAAACGAGCTGAAACTGGCGGGAAGCGACCATGCGGAGCGGACACGTGCCTCTGTGTCTTGGTTTACTAGCACGTGAGACAGTTGTGTGCCCAGTGGTTAAGATCGCATTGCATTCCGGGCCAAACGTATCTCTCAAAGATGAGTTCAACAGTGGCTCTAATGCCTGGGTGGACAATGTTATGAAGCGTGTCAAAAAACAAGGCGCCGACAAGTTTCTGGAATGACAGGCTGAGGTCTTCCGGTCGAATTGTCGCATACCATCGTGCCTTCCGATGACGGCAGTGGATGTGGAGACATCTTCCGTGAAGAAGCTCGGGCTTTTGTTAAACTGGTCCGTTCGTTGTGTAACGACCATGGCAGACAGATCGATTTACTGCCAGGCATGACTGCCTGTAGATAGTTTAGACAGGGCGTCAACGACGACATTTGTTGGCCAGAAATGTGTCGAATATCTGTGGAAAATTGGGCAACGTAATCTAGCTGACAAACCTCACGCGGTGTGTGTCGAGCTGATTGATTTTGCAAAGTGAAAGTCGTTGACATGTGGTCTGTACAGCTGATGAAGTGAATACTCTCGAGGACATGTTGGAAGTGCCGGATGGTCGAGTAAACAGCTAACAATTTTCGGCTGAACGAACTGTGCTTGAGTCACGTTGACTTTAGGCGTCTCGAATAGAAAGGAAGTGGCTTCCGGCTTCTTTCAGTGTATTATTGCACGGCTGCACAGATGTCGGAGTAAAACACGTCGACAGCTATGCTAAGCGGTGCTTTAGCATCGAAATGACGAAGCATGACTGAGGAAGTTAGGGCTTCTTTAGTAGCATTAAAATCTGGAATAGCGGCTGGTATGAGCTCAGCATCATCGTTATTGTGCTCACAGAGTATGTCAGTCATTGGGCTGAGTAAATCTGCGCAATGAGGCAAGAATCATCGGTAATAATTGATCGTTTAGAGGGTTGCCTATTCCGGGAGCCCAGAGAGCGATTCGAGAAGACGGATCGAGTTGCAGGGAAACTTTTATTGGTTCAGCAAAAGAATTCCCTGTTTTAGCTACAGCTTATAATACGAACGCCACCGTGCGACGCTCTATGCTAGGGGAACGGATCTAAGCACAAAGCTACAACAGAGCAGTCCGCGCGTTTGCCAACGCAGATCAGCTGAGCTGCCATGGCAAATATGGCGAATGATAGCAATGTTAGATAAGCATTCGATACTCAGCTTAATCAGTTCATATCATAACCCACACCGAGTTAGCGTCCTTAAGTGATATCAATTGATACGAATATTTTGGTTAGAATGTTTACTACAAGACAAATCCTGGAGGATAATCCACCCAGAACATGTCTATCTTAGGCCTCTCTCTATACACAGAAAGGGATCACTGTGTAAGTCTAGTCTCTCTTCGATCTACGGGGTTCTGTCCGTGCGGGTTATGTTGTTACACTATTTTGTTTAGCTGTATGGAGTTTTAATTTGTTTTAGAGTATGTTCTTTAATGGTTTGTTTAGTTTTTTTATTAGTATGATTAATAACTTTGATTTTAATTTATTTGGATATGAATCACATGTGATCAATATAACAACCCCCCCCCCCCCCCCCCCCCCCCCCCCCCCCCCCCCCCCCCCCCCCCCCCCCCCCCCCCCCCCCCCCCCCCCCCCCCCCCACCCCCCCCCCCCCCCCCCCCCCCCCCCCCCCCCCCCCCCCCCCCCCCCCCCCCCCCCCCCCCCCCCCCCCCCCCCCCCCCCCCCCCCACCCCCCCCCCCCCCCCCCCCCCCCCCCCCCCCCCCCCCCCCCACCCCCCCCCCACCCACCCCCCCCCCCCCCCCCCCCCCCCCCCCCCCCCCCCCACCCCCCCCCGGGCCAGCCTTCTGCGAGACCAGGTTGTGAAACCCGATGCAGCTGCTGGGGGAGAACCATGCAATCGGACCCTAGCGGGCTCCCACCCGTGTCCTCCCTACGGTGTCGAAACGGTAAAAAAACTGTTTGTGGGGGGGACAGTTAATAAAGTTCACGTAGGCAGTTGAGCAGGAAGATTGTTGAACTTCCAGTTGACGTGCGGGGATCCAGCGGAAAGTGAAACCGAGGTGCAACCAACCGACGGTGTATATGGAAAGCAAATGAAAAAGCAGCATAAATGCATAGCAATACACAAAAGAGTGCAAAGCGAAAAACGTGCAAAGCTGTTTTTGGGTTTTCAAAAAGTTTTGCTCTTTTTTGGTAGTTTCAAAACGTTTTGGTCTTTTTTTGTGGATTTTCAAAAACGTTTAGTAAGAGCAGAAAATTTCTAAGGCACGTTCTACGTAAAATAGTAAGTGCGAACGGAGTCCGAAAAACGAACCTTAGGTTTGAGCTTCCTACCGCGTCGATTGAGTGTAGGGCGAGTAGGAGTGCTGTCGGTTGTGGTTGTCGGATCTGCTGGACCGGACTGACTCGTCTGAGGTTGCGGTGCCAGCTGTGATGGCACAGGCTGTGAAGGTGCTTGTTGCACCGGCGAGTCAGACTTGTCGAAGAATGCTGGCTTGAGTCGATCAATGGTGATCGTCTCAGTGGTGTTGCGTCGTGGCTTGCTTATGTCGGGATCAGCTTGTTGGGCAGCAGCCATGGCGGCTAGATCAATGTTTGTGCCAGGCGATAAGCTGATCTGCTGAATGCGTGAAAGCGCATCCGCGACGGGATTGAGAGCACCTGAGACATGACGTACGTCTGTCGTAAACTGAGAAACGTAGTCTAGGTGTCTAGTTTCCCGCGGCGAGTACTTGTCTGTTGCGCCATTGATTGCGTAGATCAATGGCTTGTGGTCAGTGAAGACGGTGAAATGTCGACCTTCGAGGTAGTGACGGAAATGTCGGATACCTAGGTAGATAGCTAACAGTTCCCTACCGAAGGTGCTGTATCGCGATTCGGCAGGTTGTAAGCGCTTTGAGAAGAAACCTAGAGGTATCCATCGACGGTCGATGAGTTGTTGAAGAACTGCACCGACGGCAGTGTCTGATGCGTCAGTTGTCAGAGAGAGTGTTGCAGACGTGTCTGGATGGGCGAGAAGCGCTATGTTGGAGATAGCGTCTTTAAGCTTCTCGAAAGACAATTTAGCGTCGTCTGTAAAGTGAAAAGACCGTTGTTTACCGCGGAGCAAGTCAGTCATTGGTTGAACAATGCTCGCGCAGTTAGGGATAAAGCGTCGATAATAGTTGACCAGGCCAAGGAATCGGCGTAACTGCTTGAAGGAACTGGGAGCAGGGTAGTCCTTCAGTGCCTGGATTTTGTCTGGCAGGGCTTCGATACCAGAGGCAGATATGCGGTGGCCAAGAAAGTCGATGGAACTTTGGCCAAGCTCGCATTTATCGGGGTTGACGGTAACCCCATGCTGCGTCAAGCGTTGGAAGAGAGCGTCAAGGTGATGAAGATGTTCTTCATCAGAAGAGCTCGCGATAAGAATGTCATCTAGATAAGGGTAAACGCCTTCGAGTCCTCGCGTTACCTCATGAATGAAACGCTGAAAAGTTTGGGCAGCGTTGCTGAGGCCGAAAGGCATTCTGAGGTACTCGAATAGGCCGAATGGCGTGATGACTGCTGTTTTAGCAATGTCGTCTGGCGCGACAGGTATCTGGTGGTAGGCACGAACTAAGTCGACTTTGCTGAAGATAGACTTGCCAGCTAGAGCTGAGGTCAAGTCGTGCATGTGCGGGATAGGGTATTTATCCGGGACGGTAACTTTGTTAAGTGCCCTGTAGTCACCACAAGGGCGCCAGTCACCGGACTTCTTCGGCACCATGTGTAATGGTGATGCCCATGGACTTTTAGACGGGCGGATGATTCCCAGTTCGAGCATTTGCTCGAATTCCGCCTTCGCAGCTTTGAGCTTGTCCGGGGCTAGTCGGCGAGGGCGGGCCGAAACAGGTGGGCCCTTAGTGCAAATGTAATGCATGACGTTCGACGTCACAGGAGGCAAGTCGTTCAGGACGCGAACGAGTTTAGGGTGCCTGCTGAAAAGTTCTAGAAAAGGCTGTGAAGCTTGAGGTAGGACACGAATGGGAGTGATAGCAGCCACGTTGGCGCTGGTCCCGATAATACTGAGCTGTGTCCTGGAGTCGATAAGCTTCTTCCTTTTAGCGTCGACGATGAGGTCGAAGCGTTGAAGAAAGTCTATGCCTATGATGGCGAAAGGCACAGCAGCGATTATGAAAGGCCAGCGAAAAGTTCGCCGGAGGCCTAAGTTGAGCGTTAGCAGCTTTTCGCCGAAAGTTGCGATTGGTGTGCCATTGGCGGCACGCAGCTTGGTCGGCGATGGTGAGACGACCTCATCTGAGCTACGGGGTATGACGCTAACTTCGGCACCAGTGTCGACTAGAAACTCGATGCCGGAAGTTAAATCCCTAACGCGGATGAGGCGACTTTGGTGTTGGCCGGTGGCGTCTGTCGCCGTCACCGACCGGCCGAGCAGTTTCCCTGCTGCTCGGCGTAGTTGCAAGGCTTGACACATTTACGAGCTGCGGTACCAAAACGCTGGTGGTACCAACAGCTAGCCTGCCTGTTTCTAGACTTAGAACGTTTGCAGGGCGATTTTGATCGGCTAGGACGACGACGGGTTCATAGTGAGCTGTTGCACCTGGCGACTAAGTGTCGCAACTTGTGTTTGCAGGGCTTCTATAGTTGACTGTAAGCCAGTGATAGAAGTGCCCTGGGACGCGACGGCATGGACCTTGCTGGCGTTGGCCTGTGGCTGTGATCGTTCAATAACTCGATCCGCTAAGTCTGCTAGTTGAGTGAGCGGAACGGAGCTCACTGTAGCGAGAATCGCTTGTGTGTTTTCCGGTAGCCGTTGTAGCCATAGTTCGCGAAGTAAAGTCTCGTCCATGGTTGATGAACCAAGGAGTTGCTGCATCTCGCGTAGCAGGGTTGAGGGCAGTTTGTCGCCCAATTGCAGATCCCTGAAAAGCTGTTGCAGGCGAACTTTCTCAGAGGGCATAACACGCTTAATCGTGGCCTCTTTGAGAGCCTCATAGCGGTTTTCGGTCTGAGAAATGATAACGTCACGTACCTGCATTGATATCTCCTTGGGGAGATAGGACAGGAGCTTGCAATAATTTGCGTAGTCGGAAGTGATTCTGTGGTTATAAAACTCAGCCTCCAGATGAGCGAACCACAAAACAGGATCCATGTCCCAAAAAGGTGGAACGGAGAGAGATACAACACTAAGCATAGACTCTACCTTAGGTTCTACAGATTCCATGGCTTGAAAAATATGACGTAAAAAATAGGCTACCGTATGCAAAAATAAAACCGGAAAATATGAAAAATAAATGGAACGAGCTCACCGGAGAAAAGTTCGAAATATCCGGCGTTGAGATTGTTCCGGATGCGGGGTCACCAATTTAGAGGGTTGCCTATTCCGGGAGCCCAGAGAGCGATTCCAGAAGACAGGTCGAGTTGCAGGGAAACTTTTATTGGTTCAGCAAAAGATTCCCTGTTAGCTAGCTATAAACGAACGACACCGTGTACGCTCTAGCTAGGGAAACGGAGCAAACACAGCACACAGAGCAGTCGCGCGTTGCAACCGAAGCGAGCGCCAAGCAAAAAATGGCGATGAGCAAGTAAAGCATTCGAACTCAGCAATCAGTTCAACAAACCACACCGGTTGCCTAAGTGTACAATTATAGAATTTTGGTTAGAATTTTACACAAGCAAACCGGGGAATCTCCAGACTGCTACATATCAAGTGCCGCTGAAACGGCGAATAGCGGCTACAATGTTCGGAGGAGGAAAAGCACATATAGCTTGAACCTTATTGTCTAAGAGTCGTATAGCATTTTGATCAGTGTGCTGGTTCAGAAAGTCTACAAATTGCTGCTGAAAAACACACTTATTGGGACTAACGGTAATATTACTGACTTCTAATCGTTCTAACTGGATAAGGAAGTGCCTTTGATGAGCTTCTTCGGTTGCACTGGCTCTATTATGTCAAGATACGAATAAACGAAGTCCAATTCAAAAGTGACAGAGTCTATAAGGCACTGAAAGGTTTGCGTAGCGTTGCGTTGCGTAAACCAAAACAATTTCGTAAAAATTCAAATAAACCGGAAGGTGCATTAACGACAGTCTTTGCCACTTCTTCGTCTGCTACCAGGATTTGCTGGTAAGCACGCACCAGATCCATTTTTGAGAACACACGGGTGCCACGTAGCTGTGATAACCTGTGTGTGAAATACAGAGTACCGCTCGGGAATGGTTACACTATTTAGAGCGCCGTAGTCGCCACACGGACACCAGTCTCCCGACCTCTTAGGCACCATGTGAAGCGGTGACGTCCACGGGCTCTTCGAAGGTCTAACGATACCTAATCAGAGCGTGTGCTCGAATTCGGCTCTGGCGATTCGAAGCTTGTCGGGTGTAAGTCGTCTGGCCTTCGCGAAAACAGACGGTTCTTTCCTAAGCAGGTGATGTTTAGCGGCATCGGTTGCGGCGAGCATCAGAGTAACAGCACGAAAGACCTGTGGAAAACTGTGTAGGAGCACTTGCCCGTTGGGTAGGTTCATATGATTCGCGTACGCGTGACTGATTGACTGGTTGTCAGTCAACGTCCCAATGACGAGGATACTGATCAAGCGGTCGATAAGATGGTGTTGTTTTGTACCCACGAGTAGGTCGAAATACTCACGGAAATCGAGACTGATGACCGGAGTCACAAGAAATATCCACCTGAAGGATCGTCATAACTCGAGTTTGAGTGCACACAAGCGCTGACCATACAGGCGAATGGTGGTGTCGTTTGCTGCGCGCAGTGATCTGGTCGCCTCTACAATAACGTCATTTTAAGCACTTAGGAAAATGCTGATTCTGTGCATGTATCAACGAGATAGCGTACTCCCGTCCTCCGACTGGTGACGAAGAAAAAGCGGCTACGGTGATCCGCAACGTCCGTCGCCCCTACCTGCTGGTCTGCCCCTTTCCATGCGTGTTGCACTTGAAAGAACAGTGTGGGCGACACTAGCTGGCTTGATTGCCAACTCGCTAATGGTACCAACCATAAGACGAACGGGGCGGAGACTTCGAAGAGGATTGTGAACGAGGTCAGCTGCTATGTCGAAATGGGCCTTCGGATCTAGACAGTGTTATTGTCAGTTACCTGGTAAGCGCCATACTTGCGCTCTTAATTCTGCGACCTCTGTATTGAAAGTGGACTGAACTTAAGAAATTTGGGCGTTAGGTTCCCAAATACGGCCGGCAATATCGGTGCGCTGGGAAAGAGACGTAACAGCATTTGCATAAATGGAATTACGTGTATCCCATGGCAGGCGACGAAGCCACACCTTCTTAAAGAGCTGCGTAACACGAACAGGGTCTAGTATGCCGAATCGCTTTAAGACGACGGCCTTAAGCTCTTCGTAAATCTTCTGATATTCAAGAAGCTCTAAAATGTCGTCGAGATCGTCGACGACTTGCGGAAGAGCGCTGCGACGACGCAGTGAAATTTGATACTATCAGACTTTACGCCACGCACCAAAAATATGAGTTCTAGCTGAGTAAACCAGGAGTTAGGATTAGTCTCTCAGCAAGGCGGAGTAGGGTGACTGGAACCGCTAACCTGGTTGTCTGAAACTGGGTGTAAAACTTTCGAGGGTAGTGTGTACGGGGCGGGGACGATCGAAAGCGTAAGGTTGACGTAGCAGCCAGCACTACGTCAGCAGGTAGGTTATAACAGGCTCTGCAGCTTCTCAGAATTGTTCATTATAAAGAGATAAGCCAAAACTCGGATACCGGATTGTGGAAGAGTCGAAGGGGCCGGAGACCAAATCGGGAAACAAGCCCAGAACATGTGCCGGATCGACAAGTTTCTGTGTGAACAGCTGGAGTGAGCGACCAAATTTCTGCTGCTGATACAAGTGCTAAGCGTAAAGAATAAATATTTGTCACGTCTGGATACGATGTGCCCAAAAGCAAGGCGGCTTGTTTCAATAGCAGCATAGCAAGATCGAATTCTTTTGTCTGATCAACTTTTCCACCAACGTGATCCTGATAGCGCATAGCTGAAACCACCCTTCCTTCTCACTGCCTTCTTGGACAGCGCCCGCACGGCAGCTGCGTGTGGGAAGACGGGAAGAATGAATAGATTGTTCGCTTTTGTTGTCTTCCGTTGGAATGATACTATGAGACGCAGTTGCCGCGAATAACTATCCACCGTTGTGACAAAACGTCCGGACTCAAGCCACCAGTAGCTGTTAGATCAGTTCGCAGGGATCAGTGACGCGGAAATCTAAAGGTGTGTCCATTGCGCCAAATATGTGCGGAGGGTCGACATAGATTTGCTGCGGATCACTGGTCCAACGAATTTTGGCCATGCTATTCAGATCACCACTTATAAATCCCGCAGTGAACGTATCTTCACGTTCAACATCCAATAAAAATGTTAACGGTGGCCGACCGCGTGAAGGAGGGCGATGAACTACTGCCAAAGTGAAGGATGCGACCGCTGAGAGAAGACGCCTCTGAAAATGGGTCGGGAGGTGGATGATCACATTGCTCCGGGTTGAGGATGCACTGCAGACGGGGTTGAGGCACGATAGCAACCGGACAGAAAGCTCAACAATGGCATCTGATTGAGGCCGGGATATACGATTGCTCAAGACTCGCCAGTGGATAAGGTGAGCTGATAGTACTCTGCTCGTATGCCCACGATCAGATGCGTTGGGACTTGAAACTACATAACTCGAACAGTGTTTGACAGATTAAGCTCCGGTGACCAATCACAAAACAGATCTTCGGGACTACCGGGACGAATACACTTTTGGCCGAGGAAGTCCCAAAGCCAGAAGAATAATCGACGCTTTACACCGACACAATTGTACAATTTGGCTCCAGTAAAATAACCGCACGGGTTATAAGAAGTCCCAAAATCGGTTGGCCGGAGAAATTTGACTGATTTTCAGCGAGATCTTTTACCAAGTGAAGAGTAATGTGCAAAGACTGTGGCTCCCTTGCAGATCGGAACGGTGGCGATCAGTTGACAGTTTTGCAATTGATACCTGTTCATCTGACCCTCAGCAAGAGCCAACAACAAATCCAATTCGGGGATGACAGCCAGCTGCAAAATTGGTTTTCTACCTAATGTTCTCGTTGTGTGGACTCTAGTGGAAAATAAGGGCGCCGCTGCAGGGAACACAGTTGCATCTGGACCTTCGGGTCGCTCAAGGATGTCGTTTCTTAGACTCAAGCGTACAGTCTTTTTTGGAGTTGGCAGTGTAGAAAATTGTCGTTGTCAGTCAAGCATTCCATCGCGTATGGATAAATTCTCTAAAGATAGAAGGGCAACATAAACTCATGCACTTCGGAGTCATAAGCGCCCACAGTATGGACAATGAAAGAGAGGAGAATGGTCTCAAGTGTTGCAGTAAAGTGGCTAAGATGACTGCTTCAAGTAGCAAGATTACATATAGTGCTACACATTAAAGTATGAAAATGGGGCGAAAAATGACACACGAAAGAAAAGGATTGTAGTAAAGTGATTCCAAAGGAATGCGCTGCTTCGCACAGCAGAGAACCGTATAAGTTGGGTCACTTCGGGGTCACCAATTACAGCGCGTCGATCTTGCGCTAAATCTCTGGTACGCGACTAAACGGCCAACCAAGAGCGCACGGAAGAACACACGAAAATAAGCTACAAAATATTCATCGTCCGATCGCTAAAGTGACTGAAGCTAAAATCAGGGCACCGGGAGATGTCTAGCTAGGGAAGACGTAGCCGTGCAACGAGTGTGTGGACGGGCTTTGGGTCGCGGGCCGAATCAATGCACTTTTCAACTTTTCGTATAGTTCATGGACGGATGTCATATTTGCATTTCAAACAAACGGGAACAACGTTCCAACAGGCAAACCGTCTAATTCCGTAATACATAAGGAAATTAGAACTTTAGAATATTTTAGAATAATTTACACAATCATAGGGGGAAATCTCCAGGTCACCACAAGCTCACTTCGTACCTGCAAATTGTTGTCACACAGAAACTGACCAGTTTATAATCCTTTGAATTTTGACGACGAAACCTATTTCTCCTACTTCGGCAACAATATTAATGTAGGACGCA